TGCTGGGCCATCCTTTTGGCCAGTGGCTGTTTAGTTTTCCCGATGTAAGACTGATCACAGCCCTCCTGACACCGAACAGCATACACAATATTACTCTGTTTGTGCCGGGGGACTGGATCGTTGGGATGAACCAGTCTTTGCCGTAATGTATTTTGGGGTTTAAAAGCCACTGGGACGTTATGTTTAGAAAATAAACGTCTCAGTTTCTCTGATACTCCCTCAACATACGGAATGACCACTGGTCTGGGTCTGGGTTCCTCCTTTTCACCTGATGGCTGACTGGAGTCCTGTTTGGGTATCTTCTCTGCTTTCAGGAAGGCCCAGTTAGGATATCCACATTGCTCTAGAGCCTGTTTTGTGTAGGATTTCTCCTTCTGCCTGGCTCCCGAGTTAGTGGAGTTCCGCAACAACAAAATGAAAGATGGTGAAGCAGAACAGCTCAGAATCAAAGTTTCATCCTGCCTCAGCAATGGCAAACCACCACCTTCCAACATCAGTAGAGAGGAGAATGATGCACTCACCACTCTTAGCAAGGACAAAAACATCATTCTCCCAGCAGACAAAGGAAGGTGCACAGTGATTTTGAACCAGAAAGACTATCATGAGAAAGTTATGACACTCCTTAGCGACTTAACCACTTATGAACCTCTGAAAAGAGATCCAGGAAGCGGTTACAAGAAGAAGTTAATAGATTGCCTGAAAAATTTGGAGCAGGACAAGGCTATTGACCGTATTCTGTACCACAGACTGTACCCAGGGGAGGCCACACCTAGTCTGTATGGTTTACCTAAAATCCACAAACAAGGTGTACCTTTAAGACCAATTGTTAGCATGATTAACTCTGTCACTTACAATGTTTCCAAATATCTGGCGTTTGTACTCATCCCTTTAGTTGGCAGCTCAGAACACCACATACAGAACACCATGGACTTTGTGGATAAGGTGAGGGATGTCATCATGGAGACTGATGAAACAATGGTCTCTTTTGATGTCACATCACTCTTTACGTGCATTCCTGTTGATGATGCAGTAGAGGTGGTCAATTTAAGATTAAAATCAGACACCACTCTGCGCAGCAGGACCACGCTTTCCACAGAACAACTGTATCAACTCTCGAAACTGTGCCTGCAGTCAACCTACTTCACATACAGTGGAGAGAACAAGTATTTGATACACTGTTGATTTTTCAGGTTTTCCCACTTGCAAAGCTTGTAGATGACTGTAATTTTTATCATAGGTACTCTTCAACTGTGAGTGATGGAATCTAAAACAAAAATCCAGAAAAATACAATGTATGATTTTTAAATAATTAATTTCCATTTTATTGTGTGAAATAAGTATTTGATACACCAGAAAAATGAAACTTAATATTTGGTACAGAAACCTTTGTTTGCAATTACAGAGATCAGACGTTTCCTGTAGTTCTTGACCAGGTTTGCACACACTGCAGCAGGGATTTTGGCCCACTCCTCCATACAGATCTCCTCCAGAGCCTTCAAGTTTCGGGGCTGTCGCTGGGCCACACGGACTTTAAGCTCCCTCCAAAGATTTTCTATGGGATTCAGGTCTGGAGACTGGCTAGGCCACTCCAGGACCTTAAGATGTTTCCTACGGAGCCACTCTTTAGTTGCCCTGGCTGTGTGTTTTGGGTTGTTATCATGCTGGAAGACCCAGCCACGACCCATCTTCAGTGCTCTTACTGAGGGAAGGAGGTTGTTGGCCAAAATCTCACGATACATGGCCCCATCCATCCTTCCCACAATATGGTGCAGTCGTCCTTTCCCCTTTGCAGAAAAGCATCCCCAAAGAATGATGTTTCCACTGCCATGCTTCACGGTTGGGATGGTGTTCTTGGGGTTGTACTCATCATTCTTCTTCCTCCAAACATGACGAGTGGAGTTTAAACCAAAAAGTTCTATTTTTGTCTCATCAGACCACATGACCTTCTCCCATTCCTCCTCTGGATCATTCAGATGGTCATTTGCAAACTTCAGACGGGCTTTGACATGCGTTGGCTTGAGGGAGGGCACCTTGCGTGCACTGCAGGATTTTAATCCTTGACGGCGTAGAGTGTTACTGATTGTTTTCTTTGAGACTGTGGTCCCAGCTCTATTCAGGTCATTGACCAGGTCCTGCCGTGTAGTTCTGGGCTCATTCCTCACCTTCCTCAAGATCAATGATGCTCCACGAGGTGAGATCTTGCATGGCGCCCCAGACCGAGGGAGATTTTCCGTTATTTTGTATTTAATAATAATAATAATAATAATGTCATCACAATGTCAGCACTGTATGTTTCCATACAATGGCGAAATTAGTCTCTGCATTTAACCCATCCACCACCAGGTGGTGCAGTGGGCAGCTATTGAAAGCACCCGGGGGACATTTTGGGGATTAGACGTGCTGCCCAGAGACGCCACGTGATGTGCAGTGACTGGGGATCGAACCTGGGACTCTCGGGTCCCAAGCCGGCTGCCCTGCCTCTACACCATCTCGGCCCAATTTCTTCCATTTTCTAATAATTGCACCAACTGTTGTTGCCTTCTCACCAAGCTGCTTGCCTATTGTCCTGTAGCCCACCCCAGCCTTGTGCAGGTCTACAATTTTATCCCTGATGTCCTTACACAGCTCTCTGGTCTTGGGCATTGTGGAGATGCTGGAGTCTGATTGATTGAGTGTGTGGACAGGTGTCTTTTATACAGGTCACGAGCCTAAACAGGTGCAGTTAATACAGGTAATGGGTGGAGAACAGGAGGGCTTCTTAAAGAAGAACTAACATGTCTGTGAGAGCCAAAATTCTTACTGGTTGACAGATAATCAAATACTTATTTCACACAATAAAATGGAAATTAATTATTTAGAAATCATACATTGTATTTTTAAGGCAGGTAGAGCTGCTGCCTCTCAGCGAACAGGTCCCTGGTTCAAACCCCGGTCCAGGGGCCTTCTGGGTGGAGTTTGCATGTTCTCTCCGTGCATGCGTGGGTTTTCTCCGGGTACTCCGGTTTCCTCCCACAGACCAAAAACATGCATGTTAGGCTGATTGGTAACTCTAAATTGTCCCTAGGTGTGAGTGAGAGAGTGAATGGTTGTTTGTCTCGTTTGTCTCTATGTGGCCCTGTGATGGACTTGCGACCCGTCCAGGGTGTACCCCGCCCCTCGCACAGTGATTGCTGGACATGGGCACCAGCGACCCCCCGTGACCCAAAAATGGAATAAACGGGTAAAGATAATGGATGGATGGATGGACATTGTATTTTTCTGGATTTTTGTTTTAGATTCCATCACTCACAGTTGAAGAGTACCTATGATAAAAATTACAGTCATCTACAAGCTTTGCAAGTGGGAAAACCTGAAAAATCAACAGTGTATCAAATACTTGTTCTCCCCACTGTATGAGCAATATTATAGGCAGAAACATGGGTGTGCTATGGGGTCTCCAGTTTCTCCTGTTGTTGCCAACCCGTACATGGAGGAGGTAGAAAAGAGAGCCTTGACATCCTTTTCAGGGACACCACAAAGTCATTGGTTCAGGTATGTTGACGACACCTGGGTTAAAATTAAATCTCAGGAAGTCCAACATTTTACTGACCACATCAACTCTGTGGATAAATACATCAAGTTCACACGAGAAGATTTAAAAAATGGCAAGTTGGCTTTCTTGGACTGTGAGGTCTCAGTCTCTGATAGAGGACATTTGCAAACCGAGGTGTACCGCAAACCCACCCACACAGACCAGTATTTGTTGTTTGACTCCCATAACCCTTTGGAGCACAAGTTAGGAGTCATCAGGACTCTGTATCACAGAGCAGACAGCATCCCCACTAACTCGGGAGCCAGGCAGAAGGAGAAATCCTACACAAAACAGGCTCTAGAGCAATGTGGATATCCTAACTGGGCCTTCCTGAAAGCAGAGAAGAAACCCAAACAGGACTCCAGTCAGCCATCAGGTGAAAAGGAGGAACCCAGACCCAGACCCAGACCAGTGGTCATTCCGTATGTTGAGGGGGTATCAGAGAAACTGAGACGTTTATTTTCTAAACATAACGTCCCAGTGGCTTTTAAACCCCAAAATACATTACGGCAAAGACTGGTTTATCCCAAAGATACAGTCCCCGGCACAAACAGAGTAATGTTGTGTATGCTGTTCAGTGTCAGGAGGGCTGTGATCAGTCTTACATCAGGGAAACTAAACAGCCACTGGCCAAAAGGATGGCCCAGCACAGAAGATCAACATCATCAGGCCAGGATTCTGCGGTCTACACTCATCTCCAGGCCAGCGGTCACTCTTTCAGGGATGAAGATGTTCACATC